TAAAACACGGTATTGTACAGACTTGTTGCAGAGTATGTCATGCTTTTTTAGCTGAAACTCCTTGTTCATTTTGTTTTGAGACATTTTTCCTATCAAGCGTTTCCAAATAGAATCCAAGTTGAGTATATTTGTATATATATATATATATGTGTATATATATATATATATATATATGTGTATATATATATATATATGTATATATATATATGTGTATTGTTTCTATCGAGTGTATCCAAATAGTATCCAAGTTGAGTAGATTCAGAAGAGCTTGTCTCGCTATGGGAGTGTGATGCTGTCTACTGAATGAACAAGAGAAATAACATCTAATATATAGACTCTTTGAATGTGACATGGTATAACATCAAAGCCACATGTGATGTCACAAAGCCATATTTAAGTTCTAGAACATCAAAGTCACATGGGATGTCACCAAGGCAACTCTGCATTCTAAATTACGTAGAGTGGAGCATGAAAAATATTGTGTAATTTTTCAAAACAACTTGCCCTCATAATTTGTAGTCTTTATCAACCATTTTAGGTCAAATTGTAGGAAATGTGCTGGTCATAGACATGGGTCAGTGGACTTCACCTAACCCTAACCCAACCAACTGCTCCATTAGACTCAATGTCTTATTGGAATACCCCAGGGTAGTTAAATCAAACTGTGTCAGTGTATAGCTGGACATTTTATTCATTTCTATTTCGATAATTTCACTTAAAACTGTTATGTTAATTTTGCGTGAAAGATGTCTCTCAGTCCACTGAAAAATCCATTCTCAGTCTATGCGCACTGGAAGATTTCCACACACATTTTTGAGAGGAAGGGATCTTTTACAATAGAAAATGTAATAATAGACGATGCGATACGCTCTAAACAGAAGTGATCACAGCTGCAGGTGCACTAAATGGTTCAACTTTGATGTATTTACTTGTCTTTCATGTGAATAGTTTATGTAATTCTAAAACAAAATATGAAACAGATGTATTAACTATTTTAAAAAACACATTTGATCAAGGAAAGATGAATATAAAAACACAATTACAAAGAAAAGTATTATAATCCAATTGCCCACAATCCAAGACTAATGAATTACATTAGTCTACTAGCATTCCAGTATACTGCTGCCAAACTTATGGCACATGCACTCTAAAAGCATCCATCTGACTGCTCCTGTTTGAATTATTGCTGCATTTAGCAGGAGCAGAAATCCACCTGTCAAAGCTAAGCGTACCAGACATCCACCGAGTTGTTTAGAGGAGGGGAGGTATATGAACGTCATGGAAGACAAACTGCATCAATAACAAGAGACTTTTTATTTTTTTGCAGATGCTGATATGAATTTTCACTGCACCATTGAAGTTAGCAAAAACACCTGTAACACGCCAATACATAGAAGATGACAGCAACTGTATTGAAGCCTTTCAAATTGTATGGCTGTACATCTGCATCAGTTTAGCCAGATTGTAACCCCAAAACCTCTCTCCAGAAAAGATAATTCCTCAGTGTTTCACAATCTGCAGAAATTGCAAAGACTATCCAGATTTTATGAACAGAAAAAAAATGGCATCGTATAAATCCTAAGGATGCTTTATAACTGAGACTAACTGGATCCACGTGTCCTATACTGGAAAATATTGCTGAGTCAGTGTGCTGTATTAAAAGAAGAGGCCTGTATTGATTTACTTCAGCAATACAATGCATTTGCACAACCGTATGCTCCTCCCTTCTCATCCATACTCCTTTCCCCACCTTCCTCTTTCTGCCGCCATTGTGAGTTATAGCCTCATTTTGCTGTGGCGTAATAAATGTCTTGCCACTACTCAACAAAAGCTCTCAGCACTATGAAATTGTTGGATTTTAGTATATGCAATCAGTTTGAAGGCTTAAAATCTGTTTAAAACTTCACTTTTCATTATAAAACTGTTCATCTAACCTTCCCTGTGGTTTCCCAGGTTTAAAGTATTTAGCATGCTAATAATACAATGTACATTCTCTAAATGACTTCTACAACAAGACTATGTAATAACATTAAAAGATACTGGTATATAAAACACAGTGAAACAGTAGCACAAGTAAAAAAGAGTCAAAGTCAATCTGCTGTCAGTACTTTGTCAGTGGAAGAAATGGATGTTCCTCTTTGTGACTCACTTTAGAGGAACACATGTGCATAACCTCCACTCATACTGAGTCGCTAACAGTTCAGCAGTTAAGTCATGTTAACTCATTAGAATAAATAATTATATAATCATGGCAGATGTTTTTTGGAAGGAATCATAGCTGGAATCATAGCTAGTGGGCCCTGCTTGTTTCATGTAGCTTATCACATTAGAGCAGCACCGGCTAAGCTAATCACTGGATCTTAATGATTCAGTGCATCCCCATCAAGACTCTGAATGTGAGCCACGTGAGCTGCTCACATTCTCAAGAAAGTCTGCGCTGTCTCTTGGTCTGCTCGAGAGAAAAAAAAGAATCCATCTGCCGCATTAAAACACTTTCCTAGTAGGCTATGATTAATGTTCATGAAGCAGGTCTCCAGAGGTACTCATGTCTCGTCTTGTCTCCCCTCAGGTGGACCTTCCGAGGACCTTCACATTCCGCAACTCCAAACAGACCTACACAGGCATCCCCATCATCGCTGCCAACATGGACACTACAGGGACGTTTGAGATGGCACAGGTCCTCAGCAAAGTGAGTTAACACAACTGAATGGAAGAAGGAGAAATAACGGCATCACTGTGTTTGTCTCCGTGTGTCACCGCCAAGATCTATGCACAACTTCTTTGTATTTGACATAGAACCCGCTAGCTTGTGGGATGATACTTGTTTTCTTTTCAACACCTAATGACTCATCATCATTATGTATTTTTTTTTTTTTTTTTAAATCTTGCATTACAGATGGAACCATGATGGAAGAAATATCACTAATAAACAGACAAGAATGGGAATGCAGCTTTGTTTAGTGTTAAATCATTCCATTTCCTATCCTTCTTTCTCTGCAGCACACTCTCTTCACAGCCATCCATAAACAATACTCTGTAGAGGACTGGAAGAACTTTGCTGCTAATCATCCAGAATGCTTAGAGGTAATAGAGATGTTTACCATTATTTTTTTATGTCG